TATATGTATATAATATATAGTCAAAGGCTGGCTCACTTTCGTTGGTGTTGTTGTTGTTACACGTTACACTAGCTGAACGGTGAACAGTAGCCGTACTCGTCGTGCGTCATGCGGTCGTTTATCGGTTCTGTTACATACATAGCACGAAGTATAGTGACAGTCAGTAAGCACGTTTATTATTAATTACCAACACAAAGCAACGGCAGCATCATAGATAATGGCAAATTGTTTCCTCGAACCCGCTTTCATCGTCGGTGAGATCGACGAGAACATTAATCTATCGATGCCTCCGTCTTCCGGAGAAGAATACATCAAAAGGGTAGTGTAAGCGACATGGACCACAGATAATTGTCGTGCTCGTAACTGTAAGATAAACATAGCTCTTTCGTTACAGAATGGAGGCGCAAAGCTGTGCCGATGTCGTAGTAGCCGACGTCGATCGAAATCGTTTTAAAACACCTACGATCGACATCGAACCCGTAAGTGTACTAGAAACGAGCAACGTTTCAACCTAAAAATTATTTAGCCGAGGCGCATGAATTCGTTGACTTCTCGAGTTTGAATGATGCATATTAATCGCACGAAACACAATGTTTCAAGCTGTCAGGATGCGTCGAAGCACCGCCGTGGCTCGGCCCTACGCTCGAATGGCAATTGTATCAAGTATCCGACTTCTCTAACGTGCGTATGTACATAAGTCAGTTAAAGAACGAGATTCATACGTTGAAACGCAAGTGGAGACCACCAAAAATCGACTTGGTTCGTATGACGTGAAATTACGTTTTACTGATTCGAAGCGTTCCGCTTTATTCGTTACTTAACTCGTTCCTTCTTCAGCCAGATATAGATGACGAGAACGGTTGGATCCAACTGTGTTCTAGCGATGAGAAGGGGAACGATAAAATCAGTCCGACGTTGAACACGATCTTTTGCTTGAACCAGCCAATGGTGGAAAGGACGTTAGAGTTTTTGGTGGAACACTTGGAGAGCTCGACCGAGATGGGGCACAAATTGGGACAATGGATTTACGCGCTGTTGGCCGTGGTGGAACTGCCGCTGACACCGGAAACCTGTTCTTGTTTAAGATCTCTGGCCAGGACGTGCTCCGTGATGCGAGCGAAATCGGTAATAGGATTGTTACGATCGAACTTTGATCTTGCTCTCGGGTTCTTTCGAAATTTACCCTCTTCTGTCTCGGTTTCAGAAAACGCTGCAAGTACACGAGATAGGAGCGATCAATTTATTTATATGCTTAGTCGCGAGATACTTCCGTCAACTGGATCTGGCCGACCCCTGACCGTACCCCTCTGTCTGTCTTTTATATTTTCCTTTCCGATCGAACGGTAATCATGTTCGCTGTACGACTCGAGCTGCGTCGCTGTTTCTTAATAAAATCGACCTTTCGCTGCACACATACATGCACACGTAGTACGCGACCAACTTTCGTTCTTTCCACACCGATCCGATCGATTCATGTATACAACTGTATAGGACCTAGCAATGATACGCGAAGCGGTACGACGAGGCAACGTTCGTTCCTTTAATTAAACAAGTATGTACTATAACAATTGGGTAATAAGAAAAGAAAATGGTCGAAAACAACCGAGATGTTCAACCCTGAGCTATATTCTCCTGGTCTTGCAACAGTGCCGTCGCTAATCTTTCCAAATCATCGTAACTGAGGCTGTTCACTTTGTGCTTCAGATCTTTCAGCAATTCGTTTACTATCGACTCTGTTTCAGATTCCGTGTAGTAATGTCTGAGTACTCGAGAAACTTCATCTCGCAACAGATCGGTACCCGTCTTGCTATGCGACGGCTTCCCCTCGTTAGATCCTTCGTCCGCCCTTTTTACGACCAACAGATTCAGTTTGCTTCCATCTTTGATTCCCGGATAAAAACTCAACGGATTCTCGTCTGAAACATTTGTCATTCAACAATCTACTTTGCGAAGTAAACGTTGCAGCGACGTGCCGTCCATGCTGGGAACGGACGGTGTTTCGATCTTTCGCGACATACTTACCAGCCAACGTTTTCCCCGTGAGCAACAATTTCTGTTGCGGAACTTCTATGCCAAGGAGATCGCTCAGTTTGTGCTTCAGTTGTAGGACCGTGTCCGAAGGCATGATCTGTATTAGAAACACAACGATCGTGAAGCAATGAAATTGGAAATTATTCCGGCCCCGCCGATCGAATAGATACTATATACACGGGGTATCGAACAAGAAAATTTGAAAGTTCAATTACGACACTCACGTCAACGACGCATTCTTTTCCTTGAAGCTTTTTCACGATAACTTTCATGATGCAAAGTGTACAGAACGCGTGGAGCGTCAGCGAAACGACCGCCAGACCGTGTTTAAAATCAAATACGTTGGACAAACAGTGTTTTCAACGACGTCGACGACGATTCCAGCATTTTATATTTGGGGTTATATTTTGCGACACACGATCGACACGATCGACACGATATCACTGACGCACGTAGGGTAACACTGTGACACTATACGGCACTGGCTACGGAAGCGGCCATCATGCCGCCGGCACGATATAATTGGTCGACGCACTGGCGGCCATCGTATCTCCCACCATCACGGTCTGTGGTAATGAGCGCGCGAATGCGTGCACGTTCAAATCTGTCTGCCGTGAGCGGCTGGGCGCAGACGCTCATTAAGGAGCCGTTTCTCAGCTTTTATAAAGCGATACGCAAACAAAAATGAAGATTCGCATCGTATCGATCGTACAGAATGCGGGGCATGAACGGTTGCGCAACGAGTGCACATGCATCGGTATCGTCCTTTATTTTATATGTACATACAGAATACAATTACAAGTTGGAAGTATATACGAGCAAATTCGGTCTCGTAGTAATTTCGTTCAGTTGTCGAAATGCATGTTGTAACTGAGTTTCAAACACTTCACCACCGATTCTATCAATTTTACGAAACCGGTATCCTTCGGTTTTTCCAGTCCTCTCAGGACCCTGTTCTTCATCACGGCAACGAATTCTTTATTGCTCAATTGGCCGTCCACTGAAAGAGAGAAGAAGAAGAAGATGATCGAAAACCGCCGTCTCGTTTCTCTGTCAGCGCGTACGACCGTGTGCTTACTGTTTTCATCGAATATCGTATAAACCACTTGTACCACGTGATCAGTCAGATCTACGTGCGCCACCGTTTTCGCGACGTGCTTCAGCGTAGCTGAAAAATAAAATTCGATTCAGCTCATCCCCGCTTTGGTTTGCCGAACGTACTGATTAAACGAAAGAAAACACCTTGATCGATCGATGCACCGGCTATATGATAGAACGTCAATGCCGTGTCCACGTCGTTGATGTTGTTCAAGAAATGGAAGAACTTCAGATACTCGTCTTTGTCTATACCCTTTGGATTTTCTTTGAAGCTGAACAGACACAATTTACATCGCGTTACGCGCATACGTTCGATAGGGTAAATCGCGTATCGGGTATAGTTAAGTTTACCGCTTCTTAACAGTCTTTAGAATCTTTCCCTTCTTCTTGTCCGGATATCCAGCGTACGCGAGTAGTAGCTCCGTAAAATCTACTTCGCTTATTCGACCGTTCTCATCCGGATTTCTCCGCTCGAACTGTAACGCGTAACGAGTAACGCTCTCAGAACATACCCTTTTCATTCGTCTAACTTAAGGGTGTATTGGCTATACAGTTAATCCCAAAAGTTTATGTACCTTAGAAAAACGTATTTCTTATAATTAAAAAGAAATCAGACGTCGGAAGAATAATGCTAATAACAAATAGCTACGAGCTAAAAAGTATAGAAGGAAATATCCAATTAAGTATTGACGCTGGCGAAAAGTTTTTTATACAGAAGTTCTAGGCATTGACATCCTCCACAAAGAAAAATTTTATGCACTTTTCTTCAAATTTTGATATTTAATGAGTTACATATGATTATTTGGCATTTTATTGATGTTGACAGAATCCGATCATTCCAGCGTCGAAAAATCGAACTTTTGGAAAAAAAATTAGTTTTTTCTCAATTACTCCCAAACCGTTCGAGATACGGGAAAATTGTATAGAACCTTTCTTGTAGAGGACGACGAGATCTACAATTTCTGTATAAAAATTCTTCGCTACCATCAATATTTAACGAGTTATTGACGAAAAACGAAAAAACAGTTTTTTGCAAATTACTCGTAAACTATTGACGCTAGAGAAAAAATTTTAAATGNGTTTATGCACTTTAGAAAAGCATTTTTTAAAAAGAAATCAGACGTCGGAAGAACTTTGCTAATAATAAATAATAAAAAAAAAATTTTCGATTTTTCCGAGATTTTTCCAAGGGGTACCCCTTCAATTTCTTCCAAATTTTCGTTTTTCGCCAATAACTCCCAAACCGTTGGACATACGGAAAAATTGCATCAGACCCTTCTTGTAGAGGACGACGAGATCTACAATTTCTGTATAAAAATTCTTCGCTACCATCAATATTTAACGAGTTATTGACGAAAAACGAAAAAACAGTTTTTTGCAAATTACTCGTAAACTATTGACGCTAGATAAAAATTTTTACATGGAAATTGTAGATCTCGTCGTCCTCTACAAGAAGGGTCTGATGCAATTTTTCCGTATGTCCAACGGTTTGGGAGTTATTGGCGAAAAACGAAAATTTGGAAGAAATTGAAGGGGTACCCCTTGGAAAAATCTCGGAAAAATCGAAAATTTTTTTTTTATTATTTATTATTAGCAAAGTTCTTCCGACGTCTGATTTCTTTTTAAAAAATGCTTTTCTAAAGTGCATAAACTTTTGGGATTGACTGTATAGCCAATACATCCTTAACGAGTCCTTTCAATCGAGACACGATATTCACCTCCAAACTGAGTATTTCTCTCTGTAACTGTTGTTGAAATTCGAGGAACTTTTCGATCGTCAATTTTCCCTTCATGTTCGATCCAAAAAAGTAGGTAGTCAGCGCCGAATTGACTCCCTGAAAATTCACGAGCTCGTATTCACGTATCACGGCCGAACATGCCCACGTACGTGTTTTTTGGACTCTGATCCTACGGATCGTTGCTCGCGTACTTGATCGTCGGCCTACCTTGAACATGTTGCCAGTGGTAACGTGATCACGATGTCGATTGCCTATACTGGTTTGCTGCCGGATCAAGGTAGCTACTTTTCCAAACTCATCGGAATCCACGTCACCGTCACCGTTGAAGTCGAACATTCGGAAGGCAATTTCGAAATGTCTTCTAGAAGCTAGCAAAAGCGAAAAACCGTTTTCGATTCGTATCGCACTATTGTGCACTACTGTGGACGTACGTGTCGTACGAATAAACTGGACAACGATAACTTACTAGATAATACCGTAAGAAGAAATATATAGTCGGAAAAGGTGATTAAACCAGCGCTTCCTAATTTGTAAAAGATACTGTCCTCGTCCAAGGCCAATTCTAGCTTGGTATGAATATTCTAATAAATAAAAAACGTAGGATTACAGTACGTATACTGATTCTGGGACTTGATGATGGGACGGAACCCGGACGGACCAGCGAACTCACCTTCGGATCGTACCGTTTGTACTTATCCAGTCCCAGGCCTAAAATAGATTTACTCGAGTATAGTTACGATTTCCAACGGCATTCGTCTAAAACTGAAGTCTAATCGTGATCGATGATTATCGGTGGAAATTCAACTGGCAACGACGCACCTATTAACAACGAGAGCAAGCACCGATCGTACGATCCTTCGATGATCGACGATCGACTCTGAATGAGAAACAAAGGATAAACAAGCAGCGATCAAATGAACGGGCCGATAACGAAACTTCTACTACTACTACTACTACTACTACTACGACTACTGCCAAACAAACATTTGCTGGAACAAACGTAAACGTACAAAAAAATCTGTCTCGCTTGAAAAGAGCTAAACAGTTACCGTCCGGCTGTTTGAGACCAGGCGTGATCGATCTTAAAAAGTCATCGGGTGTCATGAAGATTTCATGGATGTCGTTGTTGACCACTTGCAACGTAGCGAAATATCGGAATACTTTGTCAGGAGTCGAATAATGTCTCATACGATTTTCATACTCTATTATCTGTATTTGAAACAGTTATTCGTATAGGTATAGGTAGTCACATATTTGAATGCAAGCGAAAAAGTATCGAGGGTTTATTTGTTTTACTTGTCTAAAATGCACGTTTGGTAATTTGGTTTGGTCAGCAATACATGCATAGTGGCGATGTTTCGTGAAATTAGCGAACGGAAGGTCGGTGGAAAGACGTAAGCAAGTAGGTGTATCTATCCGAATGCACTTTGCGCCAAATATTTAATATTAAGGAACTGATCCCGAAGTAGAACTTTGTTAATGAACAAATCGGTTCCTATTTTACGTTAGACTCGGTCGATTAGTAAAGATACGAAAGGGTAAGGTATCTCTGTTCTACGTAGTAGGAAAACGGAAAAGAAGAGAAAAGAAAAGGGAAAGAAAAAGAATAACGATACCGTCCGGTTGTCTCATGCCAGGAGTAATCGATCTCAAGAAGTCGTCGGGGGTCATGTAAATTTCGGTACCTTCCAAGCTCGATACCTTTACGGTCGCGAAGTAACGAAAAATTTTGTCAGGTGTCGAATACGCTCTCAAACGATTTTCATATTCCGCAATCTGCAATCATCTGTTATTTAGAAGCGGTAAGATCACGACGATTATGTACAATTCCGTTTGTAGCGCAAGGTACATCCCGAGGATTTTGTTCAAATTCGAGTTGGTAAGCGATTGGGCAAGCGAGAACTTGCTTGTCTGCGGAGAAAAAGAAACGACCGATGCTCAACCGAAGATTCTTTTGAATCGAACGGTCACTACAGTCGTGGTGGTACGTACAGCTACGTGTGCGATCTAAAATCTCATTACCAACCTTTCGATCTCTGAAGCCAACTTTCTCTTTTTTCTTTTTTTTCTTTTGTTCGTCTCGTGCCTGCTCAGTTTTATTCTCGTCGTCCGATTCGATGATCATTTCAGCGGCGTTAACGTTCAAAAGGTATCTGTCTTTCCTACTGAAACGACGATAAGCATCTAAGTAGTAGTTGTAGTGTACAAGTCTAATTTGTAGCGAGTCAAGTTCAATGCATCGTCGAATCGTGAGAAGCAGTTCCACAATAGTAAGATGTAGTTAAAAAAAGAAAAAAAATGATAAGTAGTCAGAATAACTTACTGCCTATTCCAGGCGACGTAACCCGTTAAAAGGCAGGGAACGACGAGTACGAAGGAATATGCCTTGTTCCCTAGTTTCTCCTTCGGGAGTGCGAGCAGTGAGAAAGATTTTCGACGAACGTAATACACACGACTGACCGATTCGTTAATTTTATTTCTACTCGAAACACCTTGTCTTAAGATGTACATAAACTTGTTACCAAACATGGTTGCTTATTATAGATGAACAAATTCGTTTTACTGCATCCAGGCATCAAGTTTCATTTGAAAAATATTTGTCTCACTCGTCGCCGCCAACGTCCATCGTCTCTACTCTGTTATACTTATCTACTACCAGTGTACCGTAAAACTTTTCATTTCGCGTCGGCGTTTACGATTTTTAACATATTTATACCGATGAGCCTGCACGATTCACCGATCGTTTGCTTAATCTTCGAGGACGAAACGGGTGGTGGTGAGAAGTGAGAACAGGATGCAGGGTGACACCACTGATCACCCCGTTGACACGAACGGCACACGGCCACGGGTGCGCGACGAACCAGACGAGCGAAGATAGTTACGAGTTCTATCGTTGGCGGACATGCGTCACCGGTGAATCGACCAACTTCCTTGTGAACCGTTTTCAACCTCGGCGATTGTCTGTTGTTCTCTGTGTTAACAATAAACGTGGCCGAAGATAGTATATAAACGATGGTAAAGAATGGCACACGTGAACGTAAAACGGTTCGCGAAACTACGACGATAACGATGACTACGACGAGTAATAAGAGACACGTGTCCGCCTCCTCGAGAAAGCCGAAGAAAGGGAATCGGCAAACGACGGAGATCGAACAACGGAACACGAACAAGATTGTGTTCCGCGTGTTACTTCTCGTCTCGTGCCTCAAACTACTTTTGATTCCTACATAGTACGCGCGTTCCTCTGTAAAGTGTATCTGTTTTAATAATCGGTCGCAGCTTTTCGCCTGCGTCATGCCTACTTACTATAACGTGTCTGTATCTTGCTCGTTGCGACGTCTAGCCGATCCACGGATTTCGAAGTACACCGAAACTGGCTCGCCGTAACCTACAGTTTACCGTTAAAACAATGGTATTTGAACACCGAGTCGCAATGGACTCTGGATTATCCGCCTCTGTTCGCATGGTTCGAGTATCTGCTCGCGCGTCTGGCAAAATTTGTGGACCCCACGATGCTCAACATACAGAATTTCAATTACGCGTCTACGGAGACGATCCTTTTCCAGAGGGGTTCCGTCATTCTTCTAGATTTAGTGTTCGCTCAGGGAGTAAAAGAGTAAGCGCAGCGCCTTTCCCGCACGCATACAATTGTTTACGTAGCAGCGAATTCTACGGCGTAGTAGAAGCAACATAATGACACGTACATCTTCCAATTTCAGAGTCGGCAAAGTATTTTGTTCCGCTTACGTCGATCATGTTATCTTCGCTGTATTATCGCTGTGTAACGTAGGATTGTTGGTAGTGGACCACGTACATTTTCAATACAACGGATTCTTACTGGGCATTCTGTTGCTGGCCATCGCGAACGTTTCCAGAGTCAACGAGCAGGTAAACGGAATGAGTTTCGAGAAAGCGTAAGACTCGTAAGACTTGAAAACCGTGCGTTAATCCTGTTTTCAGTCTTCCATCCTCCAGGGAACGTTCTGGTTCGCCTTGTTACTCAATTTAAAACATATTTATCTGTACGTGGCACCAGTATTTGCGATATGGTTGCTCAGATCGTATTGTATGAACGGCAATTCGTTGTTCAAGCGACTGTTTGCGCTTGCAAGTATAGCTGTCCTCGTTCTGATCGTTTCTTTCGGTCCGTTCTTGTCGCAGTTACCGCAGGTAAATAGATAAAAACGAGAAAATCCGCGCGGACAGTAAGCGTTCACGGAATTACTGACTGACTCGCGGATGAACGCGGTGATGATCACTTCAGGTGTTTTCGAGATTGTTCCCGTTTAAAAGAGGGTTGGTGCACTCGTATTGGGCAGCGAACGCCTGGCCGTTGTACATAGCCTTGGACAAAGCGCTAACCATGTTGATGATACGCTTGGGACGGCTGAAACATGTAAAATCGGCAGTGATGACCGGTGGATTGGTACAAGAACAGTCGTTCTCAGTTTTGCCGACGCCCAGCCCACTTCTAACATTCTCGTTCACTCTTCTCTCGATAATTGTAAGTGACTGATTTCGCTCATTGGATGGCTCGGCAGTGCGAGCAACTTGATATTCCACGTTACGTCCGTTCCAGCCAGCTCTGTACCGTTTAGCGTCTGACAAGGAGTACGCGACGAATCGACGACAGTTTCTGCGGTGCCTCGTTCTATGTGCCTTGGGTTCGTTCATATTCGGTTGGCACGTGCACGAGAAGGCTATTTTAACCGGCATCGTACCATTATGGTAAATGTGTGAAAGCCTGCTCGACTCGCGTGCACGCTCACCCGATACGCGGTCACCGACCTTCAATATATAATATTCGTAACCGATCGTAAATTGCGTTTGTTTCAGCGTATTGGCCGCGAGTAGCATAGACGATGCCAGAGTTTATTTGATACTGAACAGTTCCGGACATACCGCGCTCTTACCGCTGCTCTATCCGAACGATTTGACTCCGCTCAAGATACTGTTACTAGTTCTCTACATGATCGCGTCTTTTATCATTTTTTCCCGAAGATTCAAGCAACACGTGTTGCGTTCTTTCGAATATTTGTACGTCATCAATTTACCATTGTTAGTCGTCTACGAAACTGTATTGCACAAATTAATATTCGACGAGCAATTACCGTTTTTACCTTTGGCCCTTACTTCGATCTACTGCTCGATAGGAGTCATTTACTCTTGGATACTTTATTATTGTATGTTTTTACGGTGCAATTCGACCAATGTTCAGAACTCTCAAAGAAGTAAGGTGGAATAAGATCTGTATTTTCCGCTGTGTCAAGTGTAAAACTATTGTGAATGTGGATAAGTGAACACGCAAGTTTACGTTTGTGTGTGGATACGTCAAAATAAAAACAATTTTAACCTACGTCTGGATAAATAGTTACCGATGTAATTTTATTTTGAAATTGAATGTAAAGGGAATGTAAAAATACAGGAACAGTGTAAATTATAAAAATAATAAACGTTATTCGTTCATTGTATCATTTACTTATTATTTAATCAATTATTAGGTTAATTAACATTTTAAAACGTAGGTTAAAATAATTTTGGGGTAATAGAGGGCGGTGTTCGAATGTGGGACGAGCTGCGCGCCGCGCGGGAACGGGTAGTTTTCGGGAGCGTTGTTTTTCACGACGATATCAGCATCCATCGATAACAGTTCCGTCGTTCCGACGGACGACAAAGCACCACGTACATACACATACCGAGTTTAATTGTTATTGTCACCTAAAAGTACGTACCTCCGGACGAACGACGACGTTCGATTGGCGCTCGGAGGCAGTCGATGTTTCTGATTGAACTCGCGGTTCGAGGAAATGATGGATCGCACTAGTTAAACAGTAAAAATCGTGCGTACATACCGTAGGTACATATACTTACGTTGCGTTTACGTCGGCGAAACGCATCGACAATAAAAACGGCGAATCGTAATAACGAGTATCGGTAATCGTTGCCGTAGTGGTCGTCGTCTATGTATTGATAGCGGGATCGGTGTTTCGTTCGATTCTACGTAAATTACATACATGTGTCTGTATTACCGTGACCGTAAAATCGTGACAAGTTCACGAATTGGTCGAGCATACTTCTAGGAGGAATAGAATACGATTATTATGTACTACGAAGTGGAATCCGTTCAAAAATATCCAACTGCGAATATGTACGTAATCTCACGATCTGTATTTTTCTATTCTTCTACATAATAGCTACAAACTGTAAAGCGATTGCAAGGTTAAATTTTCTCACAATCTGGTATCGGCCACGCACGGTCGTTCTTTTTGTTCACGATTCTAAGCGGCGGATGTGTCAAACTTCCACGTTGACGACCTCGACGATTTTACATTTTATCGTGTTAACAGGAATAAGTCGGTAGAGGACTTGTTAATATCTAGCCGCGAAGTTATGGCCAATGTAAATTCTACGGTTGCATCGGATAGTACAACTACGAACAGTGCGTCGGACAATGTTCAAGAGTCGTCCACTGGAGGAACCGTAGAGAAATGTAGTCCAGTTTCAAGCCCGAATTTATCTCCGCGTCCTAGTCCAAAAGTGCGCACCAAACGAGATCATTCCAAATCTGCTAGTCACGATTCGAATATTAAAGAGTGTAATAGCGCAAACAAATCGGACGAACAGGTAAAGCCGACTGACACTGACTTCTGTAATGCTCCCGCTCGTCTTGCGTCATGCAAACGACACGATTCGTATACATATAATTTGCACAAATTAGCAGCAGCAACAACAACAACAACAACAACAACAACAACAACAACAGCAGCAGCAGCAGCAGCAACAGCAGCAGCAGCAGCAGCAGCAGCAGCAGCAGCAGCAACAGCAACAGCAACAGCAACAGCAACAGGATTTAGCGAATAAATCATCGGATTCTTCCCTGGCCGTGAAAAGTTTGCACGAAGGAAAAAAAGAAGCTCGCAGCAGCGAAAGAAATAAGAAAAAATCATGGTATCACGTACTTTACCCTACCTACAAGTCTAGATCCGACGATTTCAAACGTATATTTAAAGATGTACCGGACGACGAAAGATTAGTTGTTGGTAAATAATTGGTTTTGCCACGGCTAAGAATTAATAATTTTTTATTGTCGCTCGTCTTGTCTTCGTCCTCTGATTCGAACGATCCGTTGTTTATAGATTATTCGTGCGCGTTGCAGCGCGAAATATTAGTTCACGGGAGATTGTACGTATCTCAAAATTACGTGTGTTTTTACGCGAATATATTCAGTTGGGAAACATTGGTATCTCTACGCTGGAAGGATGTTACGTCGATTACCAAAGAAAAAACTGCGCTGGTTATTCCCAATGCAATCTTAATATGTACTGCCACCGATAAGTTCTTTTTAACGTCGTTCGGAGCGAGGGACAAAACGTACGTAATGCTATTCCGCGTTTGGCAAAATGCTCTCATTGGCGAGGTACGAAAATCTTTTACGATGCGCCGCCCCGGCATTCGGCAACGAACATTACCGAACAGTAATGCATGTTTCAGCCGATGAATGCGCCCGAAATGTGGCAACTCGTACATTCTTGTTACGGCGACGAGCTGGGTTTGACATCGGACGACGAGGATTACGTTCCACCGTTACCACCACCGGACGAAGAGAAATTGTCCACGAGATTATCCGTAGAATCGTTCTCCGAGGTAATGTTTTTGAATTAGTGAACGGACTCGCGATTATTTTCTTCCGTCTTTATCACCCTTTCGTTCGATGTACGATGCTCGGCGACTTGGCGAACTTTGAACCAAAGGTAGAAAGCGGTAACGCGGAACAATCGTCGGTGGCTGGTATATCGGATTCGGCGATTACCAGATGCGGCACGAATCCGGATCAGATTCATCTTCTGCCACGACCGGATCCTACCATCGACGCGACCGATCTGAGCGATACGACCGAGAGCGAAGCCGAGAAGCATCATGCGCGTAAGTTTGTTCTCCCTGTATCACTGATTATATTGTGTTGATATCTGGCATGTGTACGAGCGTCGAACCAATGATTTCAGTCAAGTCTAGCATTCGGAGCTGCGTGGTGTGCGCTTCGCCGCACGAGGGTCGTCAAATAAGCAAGGCTGTGTTCCCCGTTCATATTGATCAATTGTTCACGTTGCTGTTCACCAATTCAAAATTTTTCTTGGATTTTCAGACCGCGCGAAAAACTACTGGTAAGGTATATATAATTGAAAATCGAAAATATTCGGATCGATGACGATATTAACAGCGGCGCACGTTGTTTCGTGATCCGGTTTTTAGATCTGGTACAGTCGGCGTGGACTCAAAACGAGGAGACCGGCCAGAAAGTTAGAAATCTGTCGTTCACGATAGCATTGTCTCAGGCTATTGGACCAAAGACTAGCCATATTTCCGAAACTCAGGTTAATTTCTAATTGAATTGAACCTACCGACGACGGTCAATCGCAACGCAGTCGCTTCCTAGACGCGAATCGTCTCTGTTCCCCAAAAATTGTAATTCTCCTGACTCGCGACGCACATTTTTAGATAATGTTGCCGTGTAGCAGGCCGGGTCATTTGTACAGCATCGACGTGGAAAGCGTAAACGCCGGAATCCCGTATGCGGACTCGTTTTCCGTATTGCTTCATTACTGTATCACCAGCGTATCCGAAAGCGAAACGAGTATGGCAATTTACGCGCAAATAAAGTACAAAAAGAATGTGTGGGGCTTCGTGAAAGGTAAGAATTCGTCGCGCATAATTATCTCTTCGAACCAATTGTCTAAACGATACGTACAGTATAATAACATGTGTGCGTTTTTGTGTGCCGTCTAACGTCTAACAGGCGTTATCGAGAAAAATTGTTGGGCCGGAATAGACGAATATTTTACGAGCCTGACGAAAGCGTTGACCATAGAATGCGAAGAGAGCAACGGTAGCGGAGGTATGAAGAGGAAAACTAGGAGGAGACGTCGTGCCACGGGTGTTGGCATTTCTGGCTTGCAAACTCACACCTCGGATCACGTGTCTCCCGCGCTACAGAACTCTTACAATTTGCCCCACATCAACGATAATACCGGTAACCCCGTACAGTTTCTCTCTGGTTCTATCCATTGAAACGTAAGAAAGTTGAATATCATCGTGTTCCGTTCTACGTACAGTCTCTGGCGCCCGGGTCGATTCCAATATAATAATTAGCTCGATGCTTTTGATCGCCGTGTTGTGTCTGATGGTGATCAACGGTCTGTTGTATTATAAATTATGGGGCTTGGAAGAAGCTGCAGCCTACACTATCATGGATTTACACGTACTCAAGTATGTATGTCGAGAATTCGGGGGATCGGACGCGACGACAGCGTCTTTTTATGCACGTGTGCACGTTCGACGCGTGATCTATTTGATATTTGAAAAAGAACCTGTACTGTGCAGGAACACGCCAAAGACCGAGGAAGACTGGATTCAATTGTTACAGCAACAAGAAAGTTTGCATAACATAGAAATGAGAAAGTGGCAGAGAGTGTTGCACACCGCCGCACAGTTGCTCAGACAGGTAAGACTCAGATGGACGCGATTATGATCCCGGGCTTATGATTAGGAATCCCGCTCCCGCTCTATCGTGTAACGTCGATTGTCGCAGACGGAGGAATCGTTAACAGAGTTGCAAATGAGTATTCATCCAACGACGACTGAGAAAATGTTCTCCGTGTTGAAACCAATTTTAAAAAGCTTCGGCTCGCGTACAGCGGAACAGCAGAGTCACACGGAGATGTAGAGAGAACGCTGCGGGGAACGCGGCCAAAAGCTGTCTGAGTTACTTGATCGATGATAAGTGAGTATAACGACACGATACGTGTTCTAAAAAAAAGTGGAAACAATTTTAGCGCACTCTAAAAGTGTACTTAACGACGAGGAGAGCAGCGTTACGCTAGTTATTCTCATTCTATGTACTACTACCACATGCACATAACTTACACGGTTAAAAATTAGATACACAAATATGCTGTGATGTGATGTCGACGATCACGATCACGATCGTCGATAAAATTCCAAAAAAATGCGCAACAACACGCATGCAAAACTATCGTTTATTGACCCGCGACGAGAAATGATTTAAATTCGTTTCTTTTCCATTGCCTTTAACGTTTGTTGTTTCGCGTAAACTTCTTTCGTATTACGGAGCCCAGTCGAGAATAAGTTAAGTTACATTTTTCATATATCCTTTGTACGATATCTCGTGTCGAGCACGCTCGGAAAGATAGTAGATATATGTGAACACGCAAGTTTACGTTTGTATGTGGACGTTTGCGTACGCGTGAATGCTAATTGTACGTGTCTATCAGTAGCACAATGTAAAGAGACGGAATAAATAATTTTTAGAGAATTTTTAGAGAATTTTTAGAGAAGTGTGTCGCTTCGAAATATCCTTTACGTATCGTGGACCGTCGACGAGAGAGAGAGAGAGAGAGAGAGAGAGAGAGAGAAGTGAAAAAATACGTTCTCGTTTACTAAATTCCTTTAATTGAAATGAAACATTTTTTTATAATCTACTTGTCTTCCGGCTTGTTAAATACAAGTGTGTAGCCGCATTTACCGCAATAATGACGGTCTTCCATCGCAGCCATGAAAACTCCTGCTCCGCATTGTTCCATGGGACATTCTCTTCTTAATCGATGAATTTTCCCATTTTCGTCCACCTGTATTATATTCACCAGCGCATATACGTTTGAATCGCGTCGTTAGCAGCGAACTTGGCATCGTTTTTAAAATATCTCTAATTACCTTGTAAAACTTCAGCACCGCGAGCTTTACCTTCTTCTTCTTATGTTTGATCTTCTTCGGAGTCGAGTAATTCTTCTTCTTGCGCTTCTTAGCGCCGCCTCTCAAGCGTAACACCAAATGTAACGTGGACTCCTTTTGGATGTTATAATCGGACAGAGTTCTCCCATCCTCCAATTGTTTGCCGGCAAAAATCAGTCTTTGTTGATCGGGTGGAATTCCTAACGTTCGCAGAATCAAAGAACAATCAAGAATACGTTAAGAAATATTTTACATTCGGAAAATATTCGGGAAGAACGAGAGAGAGAAAGCAAGACGATACGTGTGTACCTTCTTTGTCCTGAATCTTGGCCTTAACATTTTCGATGGTATCAGACGCCTCGACCTCGAGGGTGATGGTCTTGCCTGTAAGAGTTTTGACGAATATCTGCATGACGGCGGCCTGCTAACGCTGTAACCGAAAACAGACGGGGGTACAACAAGTGTAACAACAAATGTTGCAATTGCGAACGATTCGTGGGAGTGGAACAGGTTCGCCGCTGTACACATCCGGATTAAATGATTAAACGCGATTCGTGTTCGAACAAATTTTATTCCGATCAATCGACGGACAGTGTGTGTGTATCGTCTCGGGCGATACTTTGTTGTATCACATCGTTTATACGAGTAGTACAGCGTTGATGCAGCCGTCGTTCTCCGGATTATTCGTGACTTGAGCGTATTTTCCCCAAACTACTTTTCCCGACTGCGTAACGAGACCCAATTCCGAGATGTTAACTTCGACGATCGTTCCCTTGGTGATGACGCCTAAACTCGTGTACATCGGCGAGCTAGGATTCTTCTTAACTCCGATGATCGGTAGGCAAAAGGTAGCTTTCAATTCGGGATGGGTAACGTGCGCCTTTTTGAAACGTAGCGCCATCGGCCTGATGAATCTCTCGAATTTCGGTGGTTTCCTGGTAAAACTCTCGCCGACGAACGTTACCTTCGTCACCATTCTCTTCCACGATTTCCGTTTACTCTTTCCGCTCTTGACAACCTTGAATACCTCCGACTCCGACTGGGTTTTAACTTTCGGTATCGGTACATCCCATTTACCAGCTTTCTCTTTACGCTTCTGTTTTATCATGTTCGACAATACTTTTGCATCCTTGTTAACATCGCGGTCCAGTAGATACACGGGTAGTGCTCCCTCCGGTACGCGATCCGATTTCTCCTTCACCTTGTTCTCCATGTGTGACTTGATCTTCTTCTTCATCTGAATCTTCTCGTTTCTCCGTTCTTTGTTGAAGATCTTTGCTTTTATCCCGCGCAACGTACGAGCTCGCTCCGCTCGTTTGTGAGGTTCGCGGGCCTCTCGTTTCCTCTTTCTCTCCTCATAATCTAATCGTCGCCCGTACAGCTTACGGTGTCGTTCGATATACTCGTTCTGCGGCATGTTCCTCGCTGATGATGATTTCCCCTTTGCCTTTTTCCTTACGAATTATGAAAATTAAACATCTTTAAACGTCGATCGCTCGTTGTGTGCTTATTAGATCGTTCGAGGACGGAGAGGTTTCGCGATCGTGTCCAATGCGACGTCACATTGGTTAAGACGCGTAGAAGAACGACCGATACGACGAACGTAATAAGAATCGCGTTAAAACGTGTACAATTAATCAATGATTAACCAAGTGATAACCACCGATCTATACCCGTGACGTTCTCTACGAGAATCCGTACAACCACGTTGAGACATCAATGTGCAGCTGCCATGCGTTCTTACGCTCTATTAGTACTCGGGACACAGCCGATTAATTAATCGGTCAGGCTATACGCGAGCATAAACATATCGTAAAGGATATTCGTGAAACGTACCGAATGTCGTGTCAAATTTGAGGAAAAGATATCGCGGTAATCGTTGTTTATCCGTGAAACCTTTAATATGTCCAAATTGGCTTACCTAGATCTACGCCGTGCACACTCGGAAAGAACTTGCTGCAGTTTACAAGACCGGAACTAGATCAGAGGAAGCCTCTGCCCGCGTCATCTGGTGGTGTTCCTCGTCGTAGTTGAGGCTTCGGCCACTAGGAGCCGGCATGTCTGCAGTTTTTCCCGCGCATTTCTATTGTCGAGTGTCGAAAACCTGTTGTCGGACCGTGTCGTGCGAAAAGGTTCTATCCGTAGGTATTCTATTACATACATACCAGTTGAAACGGTTGAAACTGGAAAGTCACTCGTTTCACGTGATCGTGTGCTTGTTCGAATCGCGTACGGGAACAATGGGTGAAAGAGAGTCGTGTTCCTCGCGTGAAATTCCTGTCTCGGACGATGTTAAGCAGGACGAGTATGCGATAAGCATCGGCGGGCGCAGTGGTGACCGCCGCGAGAAAGAACACGAGGAATATCAGTATTTACGTTTAACGGAAAAGATAATACGAGAAGGGGCGAAAAAGAACGATCGTACCGGGGTGGGTACCTTGTCCATTTTTGGGACTCAAATGCGATTCGATTTACGAGACGGTAAGTCGCTGAACTGATAGTAGTATCAAGTATCAGTAGATCCGCGATCCTGCAGGTAGTGGCTAACAGGTACTACTAGCCACACTATAGTACATTATAGTATGGATGGATCCGCGCTAATCGGAATCACTGTTGGTCGCGATCGATCTATACACGTATACGTTTAACGATTAAAATCGATTCGCCGCTGTTTTTGACAGACGTGTTTCCATTATTGACCACGAAGAGGGTGTTTTGGAAAGGCGTGGTAGAGGAATTGTTATGGTTCATCAGAGGATCGACGAATGCCAAAGAGTTGTCCGACAAAGGCGTTCGTATATGGGATGCAAACGCCTCGCGTTCGTTCTTAGACGCTTGCGGGTTTACGGATAGAGAGGAGGGCGATTTGGGACCAATTTATGGGTTTCAATGGCGGCATTTCGGCGCGGAATACAAAGACGCGCGTACGGATTACACTGGACAAGGTGAAAAGAGAAACTCGTCGTAACTTTTGGATCAACCATCGGTCATGTTCATCCACTCATCCGTCGCTTCGTTCGCTTCTCGAACACGTTCATTCGTCGATTAACGGTGATCGTCAATGATAGAATCTGTCGTTGAATTTAAGAACAAACAGCACTCGCTGCCCTGGTGGATCCAAAAGTTCAGCTACAAAAACAGAATCTGGCAAACTTCGAACACTGATCGTGTTCGTGACTCGTTACCGAGATATTCGATCGTGCATAGGCGTCGATCAATTGAGAGAAGTTATAGACAAGATACGAAATTCTCCTAACGACCGAAGAATCATAATGTCGGCGTGGAATCCGATCGACTTACCAAAAATGACCCTGCCTCCTTGCCACTGTTTCGCACAGTTTTACGTGAACGAAGGAGAATTGTCCTGTCAAATGTATCAGAGAAGCGCGGATATGGGTCTGGGCGTACCGTTCAATATAGCATCTTACGCTCTGTTAACGCGCATGCTGGCACAAGTTACGAATTTAAAGGTAATACACAAGTTCACCGGACGCGTGAAATAAATATCCGCTCAACTTCCTGCTTCCGTTTTTGTCTTCAGCCAGCCGAATTTATACTCACGATGGGCGACTGTCACGTTTACCTCAATCACGTGTCCGCGCTCGAAGAACAGATCAAACGCGAGCCAACACGGTTTCCGCGGCTAACAATCGCTCGAGACGTTCCGAGCATCGAAGATTTCGACACGAATGATTTCGAGCTGCACGGATACGAGCCGCATCCAAAAATTTATATGCCGATGGCCGTTTGACCATCGGGTCTCGACGACGAACGAACGACCAACGGAACGGCGGATTCACCTAAATGCGCTTGTCCGCGTATACCATCATTTCATCGTGCGCGAGAGATACGATACGGTCCAAGTAAGAATACGTTTAAAATTCATTAGTTTTATCATTTTTAAACCGTATCTACATTTCGTTTCCTAATAAAAATTATGATTTTATTATTATTATTATTATTTTTTTCTTCACAAACTCGTGTCTCGTTCAAACAGACGCACGCTCGCGCGCGCGCACACGCACACGCGCACGCATTCATATGCATATATATGTGTATATCAACTTTTCTCGGTAATTTCGTAATTTTGGTCCATACGCGTCTGCTACCATCGCTCTGTTCAGCGGATGTTATACGACGCATCTTTTCGTTGCATTTTGCATCGCGACGACGAAACAAGATATCATTCGACGACGATTGATCAGCAAAACTTGTAACCGACGAGTATGGACGACGAAACGGGTGTTACGTACAACGGCAACTTTCACAAGATTTGACGAAATTACATTACGCTCCTATACAGTGTTCCGATGCTTGGTCAAACGATAAGCGCACGGATAATACGAGGAGATATCGTTCGTAGCGTTGTTACAAAGGTAAAAGAATTTACTTTTGTCGTTTCTCGTCGTGTCGAAGCAACAGATTTTAACGGATACGTTGCCGTTCACTCGCTTTATTTTAAAAGTAATCCACGGAGATATCGGGGAAGAAAGAAAGGAGGGGAGGAAGCCGGCAGGGAGGGAGGGATTTAGGAGAGGAGAAGAGAAGAGAGACAAGAGCTCAAGGGTCAGCGTCCGGAGAACGACGAGGGCTAGCACATCTTCGCATCGTTGGACGACGACGTACTCAACTGATGCAGTTGCTGAGTCACAGCTAACGTACCGGTTTCGTTCACAGTAATAATTATCCAGACGACGTCTGAAAAAGAAAACAAGTCCTGTCGGTCTACGATGCTGCTCGAACATTGAACATCGACGAAACAAATGGATAAGGAATTAGAAAAGCGTTACCTCCGAAAAACGTTTCGGTAGACTTTACCATCATCCTCCATTTACTTTGAAACGTACCGCAGTACGGAGGGCTCTGAAGATCGACGCTCACTTCCGTTACTTCTTTGGGACCTAGGGACGGTACCGGTACCCTCGTACAAGCTCCCATTTGTACGCCTCCTATGTATTGTAGACAGACCTCTTCCGGCCAAGCTTCCGTACCGCTGTTTTGTATTCTCCACGATTTACGAAAGTTGGTGAGCGGTGGTACCGATTCGCCTTCGCCGATAGTGCTGTCGCATATCAGCGTCATACATGGAAATTTGTTTCGAACCGGAGACTCGAAATCAAAATAGCTGCATATAGCCGCCTGAAGGTTCCTGCAATTTTATGTGTCAACATTTGTTTCATACGCGTTCAATGCAACCTATTCCTATTTCCTCATTTCCAGATTAGCGAAGGTGGGCAACGATACGAGATTAAAATCCGTCCCAATTCCAAACCGCGCGCGCGGAAGAGTCGTCGTATGCGTCGTCTGGCCATCGTATCATCATCGATTTACACCGTTTCGATCAGAGTCCGAGCATACTGTCCGATTCGATCGAACCGATGTTCAGTGTCGTAAGTATCGCGATTAGTACGGAATAAAATTGAAATGAAAATCGTTCGGTCCGAACGTAACGTTCGGTCGAGTAGTAGTAGTAGTAGTAGTAGTAGTAGTAGTAGTAGACTGGATGGTGACAAAGAACGACGACGACGACGACGACGACGTAACTCGATGTAAACATGGCGACACGGTAGGGTTAGATCGAACGAGTAGACTCGATCGAGGTAGAACCGACAGCCGCGCGCGTTCCCTCGCGTCGTCTTACCAATTATTCATGTCCAGAAAGAAGGCAGCGGTAGTTTCGTTCAACTGGCTGCCAGCTAGCAACTTCTGTAGCTGCTTCACCAGATCATCCTTGTCGGTGGTACCCAGACAGCTGAACTGGTGGAGCAAATGCTGATCCAAGTCGTTGTCCACGTTCATGTTTGTCGCGTTCCGTTCCGCCTACTGCAACACCCCATCTAACGCAACTGTCACGCGCACACGGGCCACGGATTTTCGACACGCGTTCCGTTATCGCTCGATCTTTAACTGCAAATTTTGAATGTCATTCTTCGTGACGTTCATCTGTGCGCAGCAGTGGGTACCACTGCCATGCATCCGCACGCACGGTACACTCCGCGCAAAGAATACGACGATCGAGCAGAAAGTTACTCTTCGCGTCGTCTCGCATACGATTCGCGGTAATTCGCAGCGATCCGATGGTAACGCGCAATTCAAGTGCAGCTAGAATGTTTAAACTCTACGATCTAGGTTCTAGAAAGTGTAACGTTGATGGTAACCAACCGATATGAAATACTGCGCGGTACGACACCCTACTCAATACCGACTCGTCGTCGGTAGTGGTCGTGAAAACTCGCCTATCTTTCGATTACTGTTTAAGGATGTATAGGCTATATACTTAAACAATGCTAACATGTTGGATTTCTTATTATAGATTCCTATTACTATTAAAAAGCTACCTGCAAAATTTTAAATCAATTCATGGGTTTTTTGAAAAATTATAGTGACTTAAAATTTGCATGTACTCTTATGGTAACCAACAGTGAAAACTTTCTGGTGTGCATTGCTATATGCACACTATTTGGTNAGATAAGGATGTATTGGCTATACAGTCAATCCCAAAAGTTTATGTACCTTAGAAAAAGGTACTGACGTCCTCTACAAGAAAGATTTTATGTATTTTTCTTCTAACTTAAGTATTTAACGAGTTAAGTATGATTAATTGGCATTTTATGGGTAATGACAAAATCCGGCCGTTCCACCGTCGAAACAGCGAATTTTTGGCAAAAAATTTCGTTTTTCCTCAATTACTCCTAAACCATTGGTCGTACGGGAAAATTGCATACAACCTTTTTTGTAGAGGACGACGAGATCTACAATTTCTGTATAAAAGTTTCTTGCTAGCGTCAATAGTTAACGAGTAATTTGCAAAAAACTGTTTTTTCGTTTTTCGTCAATAACTCGTAAGCTATTAATGCTAGCGACAAAATTTTATACAGAAATTGTAGATCTCGTCGTCCTCTACAAAAAAGGTTGTATGCAATTTTCCCGTACGACCAATGGTTTAGGAGTAATTGAGGAAAAACGAAATTTTTTGCCAAAAATTCGCTGTTTCGACGGTGGAACGGCCGGATTTTGTCATTACCCATAAAATGCCAATTAATCATACTTAACTCGTTAAATACTTAAGTTAGAAGAAAAATACATAAAATCTTTCTTGTAGAGGACGTCAGTACCTTTTTCTAAGATACATAAACTTTTGGGATTGACTGTATAGCCAATACATCCTTATCTGTTACTGTTACCGATGTCACT